TTGCTATATTCTTTATAATCTACATAGTGCCAGAGAAAAAGTTATGTATAGTGTTTTTCCTTATTTCTACAGCCCTCTGCCGTGTGATTCTAATTTGGATTTTAGTGTAATTTCAACATAGTTTTTATGGTTTAATAAAACTTGCACACATTAAAATGCTATTAAACTGTTACACATGGTTAATAATACTTATGGACTTCTGAAAGCAGCCATTATTAAACTGAACAAAGTCATTAATGTCTTTAAACTTTGCACCAGAATATAAAGCACAAAAGAGATGTTTAACTGTACCTACACAACAGTTATGGTATCTGACTACGTAAGATTTTTTTCTTTTCTTACCATATGTATATATATATTTTTTGTATTAGTACTCTAATGAAAATTAAAAAAGAAACTCATTGTGTTCTTGAATTGACTTTCCCACCTATCATGACTTTGCAGGAACTGACTGCAAAACTCCCATGCGTTTGCATTTTCCTCTACATACTAACTAGACCACCAGAGATAATCTCTATAATCTTCTTTATCCCTAAAATTCAATGTGTTAATAAGAAATACCATTTAAGTTTGGACTAGAAATGCAAAAATAAATTATTATATTTTCTGCACAAAAGGTTATTTTCATTTCTTTTAAAGTAACAAATAATGGCAAAGATTTTGAAAATCTTATCAATTATTAACCATTTTTAATATTTTAAACATTCATAATTATTAACTTAATATGTCTTCATTGGGAAATATAAATGACCTCACTTAGAGTTTGAGTTGTTTAACACATATATTGCTAAAAATAAATTTAGGTATTTGAAATGTCCTATCACTTCTCTAGAAATGATCTGAAGTATGATTATAAAATTGTCTTTAACGTATGATTGAATTACTTCAACATAATATTCCCCGGCACCTAACAGCCCAGTTGTTATTTATCCAAAACTAATCCTAGCTTATTTTGCTTGAAATGGTTAACTGATTTAAATTGTCAATATTCAAAGCAATATTACCTATGTATGTGTCCATTGTAATGAGGAAACTAGCTACATATCACTGGCTTATTCATTTTACCATCTTCCAGAATCACATTCTAAAAGGTCAGACTTTAGTACATCCTTTCTTTTTTCCTTCATTTTATTTTACATTTAAAGATTCTATCTATGCCTTTCAAAATTTAGCAACTATCAGGAAGATTAAAACATGAGTATTGGCTATTTTTTTTTCCTTTTTTTATTTATTTAAATCATCTCCATATCCAACGTAGGGCTCAAATGTACAACCCTGAGATCAAAAGTTGCATGCTTTTACCTACTGAGCCATCCAGGTGCCCCAATAGTGGCTATTCTTAATGTGTTTCATTGTTGTAGTTATAAAATAATCTAAACTAATCAGATGTCTTCATGAGAAGTATCAGCAATGACCCAACTACAAATCTGACACATCTCAGATCTAGAGAAACCCAACATTCAATGTCTAGAGAGTGAAGTGGAGATATTTAAATGGGCCCACACATGCCAAGCAATTTTACCCTGGATGTAAGCCACAATAACACATGTAGTTAAAATAGGCTTTCTCAGGCATGCCTCAGTACATGCTGCTACTCCACTTCTTAAGTGGTAAGTCCTATCATTTAAAACAGTCTTGTAGACACAGAAATAAAGAAGAGTCTGGCCCATAGAGGTGGGATATAAAAGTGGTCATAGGAGACATCTGGGTAACAGCAATAAAAATCAATAAACATAAAAATGTTAGTAACTGAGACTTCAAGTCAATTTAAAGAATTCTAACAAAAAATGAGGCAAGTTATAAAAACTTTGAGGAAAATGAACTCTTCAAATAAATTACTTTGAAAACAGAAAATAATACTATGGTTTGCTAAGTGGGCATTGCATTTACAATGGAAGAAAACAGCTAGTTAAAAAGTGCATATCCATTGAAATGTAAGAGAAAATAAATAATATTATCCTAAGGAAAAATTTCATAAAACCAGATAAAAATGGTTGAGAAGTAGACAAATTTAGAGGGAATTTTTAAAAAGAAATAAAAATAGAAAAAAGAATAAAATGCCTGACAGAGTTTAAAGGTTGTGATTGCAGTATGTAAGCATTATTAGTACCCAAAGAAGAATGCAGAATGAATGAACCAGTATTAATGCCGAAAAGAATAATAACAGAATAATAAAATCTTCCAGACATGAAGAAATAAATAAGAAAAATATGTAACATCACATATTCTGGTTAAATGCTTCAATGTCAAAGATAAAAGGGAAGGGAATTAAATTATAAAGTATCTACGTGCCAGTCACTGGGTAAGTATTTTATACATCGTTTTTAATTAAAGAAATTAAAAATCATGTATCAGCTTTTATGAAGTGAGTGAATCAATTGCTTTCATAAAATATAATGTTCATGAGCATAGGCCATTCTCTTGTTTATTTTCTACAATGATGGAAATGAAAGCAAAATAACAACATTAACTACATAATCCTCAAACAATAATAAGGTCTAAAAATTTGTACTTCTCCAAGTTCTAATTCATATGTTAAGCTAAGAACACAACAAAATATCTTAGGTTTTCATTTCCAAATTTCCGAGTTTGTCATATAGGATAAGTTTTTAATCAGAAGAAAATTAGTTTTCTCAAAATCATTAGGAAACCAATAGTATAGAATATTCTATAGATCATTAAAGGCTGAAATCTTTTACTAACAAAATGACATCAAAAAGAAGACTTCAGGATAAGTGTCATGAAGGTGGAAATTTATAGGCTTTGACTTTTTCCCCATTTAAAATCAAACAAAATTTAGAAAGCTGATTAACTAATAAACCATCAATGAGAACACAAATATTAACACTGATTTGTGTAAACACTGAAGGAAAATGAACATAACAAAGACAATGACAAAAATTTTACCACATTTCTAAGAGTATGCTTTTTTGATTTAACTTGAAGAATGGAAAAAAACGGGATCTAACAGTAGGCTTGATACAATTTTTTAAATAAAGAAAGATGATTATTTTATTATGGTTTAACTAAATCACAGATTAATCCTTAACTCACAAACAAATCTATGATTCGATTTGCAAAACAGTCTCTCCCATGAGTTTTCTTTTTAAATAAATGGCTTGATCATTGTGCTAACTTGGCGCCAACATCTATGGCTACTCACAGTCACTGTGCAAATCCCCTAGAAACTGAAATTCCCAAGGCATTTAATAACCATTCACAGACTTTCAAGAGCTTACAGGAATGCTGAATCAGCAGGGAAGTTTGAAGACAGACAAGTCTTATTTAAATGCAATTTGGGGGTGCATGGATAGCTCAGTCATTAAGCATCCCTCTTGATCTCCTCTCAAGTTTTGATCTCAGCGTCTTGAGTTCAAGCCCTGTGTTTTTTAAGTGGAGTCTACTTAAAAAAAAAATGTAATTTGAATAACCTTGTAGCTGTAATGGCTGCCTATGTCCCTGGGAGATAAGCTAGGAAAAGAAGCAGGCCTCTTCAGTCTAGATTCCACTGACTTCATGCTTTAAGAAAGGTCAGCCTAACTAGCCCATGGATAACATCTCCTAAACGGAACATTTGTAGCATAGCTTGTATAGTGCTTGAATTAGCAAGGTTATAAAAATATACATTTTAGTTTTAGGTTCACTTATTTCTATTTTTTTTTATTGAACAGAATGAGTTTCCATGGCTCGAAACTTCATTTATAACATTGTATTAATTGGAAGTAAAAGTCGAACTTACTGTTGTTGACTTCATCCAGGCACTGATTAGGTTCAATCAGAGGATACTTACAGTGCTCAAGTGATCATTTTTATAATGATATTTTACAAAATTACAATTATATTGGAAACATCTTTACTTTCTGTACTTTATCAAACTACCAGAGTAAAATAAGCAAAATTCGTGCTAAAAATACGATACACAACAGAGACAACACACACAACCACACTATAAATAAAAATGGCATGTTAGGTCATATGTAATAAAGAATAACAGTGTATATGTTAAATGAAACAATAATAATCTTGGGTTTATGTAAAACAATCACCTATGTGTACTTCATTAGAGATATGCCCTAAATAAGATAATACAGCAGAGATCAAAATAAATAAAAGGGCCAAAACACACTGTAGATATTGAACAAAGAAAATATGTTGGTGTCAATAATAAACATAATGCAGAATATATTAATATTTTTTAAATAACTGATAAAATATAAAAATAATAGATACACTTTATTATTAAATAACTATGCACCAAAATAAACATGTTCAACCTTCCCAAAATTTAAGATATTTAGAAGAAATACAGTTGTTCACAGATTTTATCTTAATATCAAGCTCTCAAAAATCAGAATGAAATAGAAAAGGTAAACTATTTTTTAAATATGTGGGTTCAATTATATTTTACAAATAGAACAGGTAATGGCTAAATTCTCAAAATAAAAACCACTTATATATTATGTAATCATAAAAAACAAAGGTAATGAAAATCATCTCCTAAGAATTTTTAAAAGATACTTTAAATAGTAGTTGGTTCAAAAATACGGTGACACATTAATTTATTTTTATAAATCTTAGCACATAAAAATTTTTTATCAATTGTTAAGATCTTAGAATTCTAAGTACAGCAGGAGGACTAATGAATCTTTGTAATAAGTCTATTATAAATATGAACTATCTAAGTGTCATTCATGTAGTGTAATATTTAAGAAAAGAAACAATTCAATTCTGGGAAGGATAGGGGATATGAAACAATTATAAAATGAGAGATAATAAATTTTAGAAGTCCAACATGGAATTTATATGAATATATAGTATTTTGAAAAATATGAAAGTAAATGCTTCCTTAGAATTGTTGATTTAAATTTGTGATTTCATTTTTTTAAGATGAAAACGTACTCAAAAACTTAGTATTTATATTTCAGCGTGCATCACTCTTATGATGTTTATATGCTTTCCTAAATATATATTTAGTTAATTGTGGGTAAATAAATACTGACCTGCAGTAAAACATGTGTCCAGGTCCATCAACACAAATACTTCCATTAAGACAGAGGACCAAATTCAGTTCAGGCTCAGCACAACCATCAATATGTATTTCACAATATGCATGAATGTATCCACTCGGGCAAATGCAAGTAAAGTCATCGACTGATTTCTGACAGAAGTCTTCATTTATAGAAGGGGTTGATGTACAGTTCTAAATTAAGAAATAAAGAATCAAATTTGATTATTAGTGATAAGACTAAACATTTTATTAAACTTATTTTATTTAAATATTTTTAAGAAATCAATATGCAAGCTTATCTGATATTCCATTCCTCTAGAAACTGAAATATGTTTTTGGTAATAAATGGTTTTCGTCTTTTATCACCAGAAATGTCCCATTATTGATTTTTCAGAAAAAAAAAAACAACTTTATTAAACTTTGCTGCAACATGTACCATGGCAGTGAATACCTACCCCCCTACACACCCAAATAATGATGCTAAAACAAATTTCCTATGTATATAATATCAGGAATTCACTGACCCTTAGTATACATGCCAGTTTGCCTGGAACAGCCCTAGATTAATTCTGCTGTCTTAGGGTGATTAATAGTGCCTTTATTAACTCTCAAAGGAATCCTGGGTTTGAACACATACTTAGAACAGCCAATTCGCAATGGACTTACATCTACAAAACACGGCATCTTTAATATCTGCTTTTATTCCATTCATAATTGTTCCCCCCCCAAATTGTTTTAATATGTATATCACTTTTTCAGACTTATTAAGGTATAACTGACCAAAAAATACCCTGCACTATATTTAAAGTGTACAGCATAATGATTTCATATACATACACATCGTGAAATGATTCCCACCACTGAGTTAATACACACACCTATCACTGCACATATACACCTTTCTTCTTATTGAGAGTAGAGGGAGTGAGAACACTGAAGTTCTACTCTCTTAGCAAATTTTAATTGTAGAGTAGTGCTATTAATATAGTCACCATGTTATATATTTGATCACTATAATCTGTTGAACTTATAACTGAAAATGATTTCCAAGCATTTTCTATTTCTCCTATGCCCTACCCTCTGGCAACCAATTATTCTATTCTCTGTCTCTGTAAGCCCAGCCTTTAAAAAAAAATTTTTTTTTTAGATTTTTTAACAAGTGAACCCATGTAGTATTGGTCTTTTAGTTTGGCTTATTTGCCTTAGCATACTGTCCTCCAAGTTTATCAATGTTGTTGGAAATGGTAGAATTTCCTTCCTTTTAAGACTGAATAATATTTCATTGTATATACAGACACCACATTTTCTTTATCCAATCATCTATTGATGAACACAGTTTGTTTCCATACCTTGATTATTGTGAATAATGCTGCAGTAAACATGGAACTACAGATATCTTTACAAGGTGATGGTTTAATTTCTTTCATCTATTTACCCAGAAGTGTGATTACCAGATCATATGATGGTTATATTTTTAATTTCTTGAGGAACCTCCATAGTGTTTTCCATAGTGACTCTACCAGTTTACATAGCTATCAGCAGCATAAAGGGTTCCCTTTTTTCCACATCCTTGCCAATATCTGTTATCTCCTATGTTTTTGCTAATAGACCTAATAGGTTGGGACAATTATCTCATTGCAGTTTTGATTTACATTTCCCTGATTAGTGATGTTGAGCACCTTTTCATATATCTACTGCAATTTGTACAGCATCATTGCAGAAATGTCTCTTCAGGTCTTGTGCTCATTTTTTAAATTGGATTATTTGGGGTTTTTATTTGTTTGCTTTGTTTTGCTATTAAGTTGTATGAATTCTCTATATATTTTGGATACTAATCCCTTATTATATATGTGATTGTGAATATTTTCTCCCACTCCATAGGTAGTTGTTAATTTTGTTAATGGTTTCCTTTGCTGTGCAGAAGCTTTTTCAGTTTTATGTAGTCCCACTTGTTTATTTTTGCTTTTGTTGCATTTGCTTTGGGTGTCAACTCCAAAAAAAAAAAAATGATTGCTAAGATCAAATATCAAGGGATTTACCAGCTATGTCTTCTAGGAGTTTTAAGGTTTTAGGTCTTACATTCAAATCTTTAACCCATTTTGAATTGTTTCTGTGATGGTGTAAGACAGAAGTCCAGTTATTATTTTGCATGAGGCTATCAGTTTTCCAAATACAAGTGTTTGGAATAGCTTGAGAAGGGTAGGTATTATCTCTGCTTTAAACGTCTGGTAGAACTCCCCTGGGAAGCCATCTGGTCCTGGACTCTTATTTGTTGAGAGATTTTATACTTCAATTTCTTCGGCTGGTGATATGGGATGTTCAAACTTTCCTATTTCCTATTAGTGAGTTTTGGAAGATGTAGTGGGTGTTTAGGAATTTGTCCATTTCTTCCAGGTTGTAATTTGGTTGGCATATAATTTCATATATTCCCTGATAATTGTTTGTATCGGGGATTGGTTGTAATAATTCCATTTCATTCATGATTTTATCTATTTGGGTCATCTCCCTTTTCTTTTTAGAAGCCTGGCTAGAGGAGTTTGTCATATTTGCATTTTATTTTTCAAAAAAACAACTCTTGGTTTTGATTGATCTGCTCTACAGTTTTTAGTTCTATATTGTTTATTTCTGCTCTGATCTTTAGCATTTCTCTTCTTCTGCTGGGTTTAGCTGCCTTTGCTGTTCTGCTTCTATTTCCTTTAGGTGTGTGGCTAGTTATTGTATTTGGGATTTTGTTGTTTCTTGAGATTAGCCTGGATTGCTGTATTTTCCTCTCCTCGGACGCCGCCTTGCAGTCCCAAAGACATTTGGATTGTTGTATTTTCATTTTACGTTTGTTTCCATATATTTTTAATTTCTTCTTTCACAGTGCCTGGTTGACCCACTCATTCGTTAGTGAGGGTGTTCTTTTTAACCTCCATGCTTGGAGGTTTTCCAATTTTTCTGTGTGTTGATTCAAAGCTTCATAGCATTGTATGTGTATATGCATGGTATGCGTCTAATTTCGCATAAACTTATGAAAGGGCTGTTTTTGAGGCCCAGTATATCTATCTGGAGAATGTTCTGCCACTCTTTTCGAGAAAGATAACTCATGTTGCTTTGTGGGATGCAGAGTTCATGTATCTCTCAGAATCTCATCACGTCAATTCAAATTCGGGCCCTTGTTTCTTTTATTACGTGATATGTCTCAGATGAGTCTATCCATTTCTGTAAGGGGGTGTTTAAGTCCTGCAATTACCCCGTATTCTTCTCCAATGGTTGCTTATGTTTCATTAATAATTGTTTTTATATATTTGCAGGGGCTCCGGTATTCGGTTTGCATCGAACTTTATAATTATGTTAGCTCTTCCTGATGGATAGACCCTTAGTTATTATATTCCCTTCTTCATCTCTATTTACCATACTTAATTTAAAGTCTAGTTTGTCTGATATAAAGATGGCTACTCAGTGGCTTTCCTTGGCTTAGTAGTATAATAGATTTCTCATCCCACTCTCAATCTAAAGTCGTCCTCAGGTCTAAATAGTCTTTGGAGCAGCTAAATAGATCAGAGTCTTGTTTTTTTTATCATCTGATCCCTATGTCTTTTGGTTGGCTGCATTTAATCACATTTACAAGTGTTATTATGAAAGATATGGTTTTAGAGTCATTGTTGACTCCTTCTGTCTGTATGTTTTTACTTGTGTGTAGATCTCTGGTACTTGTCTCACAGGGAATCCCTTATGGACTCTCTTAGTGTTTAGTGGTACAAATTCCTTCAGTTTTGTTTTTTTGGGAAGACGCTTTATCTCCTTCTTCTAATACAGACGTTGCTGGATAAAGGATTCTGAGCTGCATATTTTTAGCCGCATTAGCACCGAAATCCTGTTCCAATTCTTTTCTGGCCTGCCAAGTTTCAAAAGAGAATCAGTCCACGAAGTCTTATAGAGTCTCCTTATATGTGAGACGCTTTGCTCCCTTGCTGCTCAAAATTTTCTCTTTATCATATGTATTTTGCCAGTTTCACTAGTGAATGTAACGTGCAGAAGACGACGAAGAGATTCATCGTCTGAAGGGAGTTCTCTGTACTCTTAGTTAATACCTTTCCTTCCCCAGTTCAGGAAGTTACTCGGTTTCTTTCAACCCCTTCAGCATCTTTCCTTTCATTCTCCTCTGGGATACCAATTATAAGTATATTATTTCTTTTTATTTATCACTTAGTTCTCTAATTTTCCCCCCATACTTCGTTTTTTTTATCTTTCTCTCAAGCTTACCTTTTTTTTCCAAGAACTTTATCCTTCTAATTCACTATTCTCCTCCTCTGCCTACTTCAATCGCGACCATCTTTTCCATTTGTTTTGCATTTGAGAGCTTTTCAGCTCTAAACGTGTTCTTCTTAGTCCTTGATCTCTGTATGCAAGAGATTATCTGCTGTCTCCTTCTTACTGTTTTTCAAACCATAGCAATTAATATTATTATGATTATTATTCTAAATTCTACATTTTTATATTATTAAATCTTTTTGATCAGCTCATTGCTATGTTATTTCGGAAATTCTTGGGGGAGATTCTTCCACTTGTCATTTGGATAGTCCTAGGCGTGGTGAGGACCTGAGGGCACTTCCCCATGATGCTGTGTGATATAACTGGAGTTGGTGGGGGCGCACAGTCGACCTGATGTCGCCCCAGACCACAGCTGGAGACCACAGTCAGACATGTGCATGCCTCCTTCTCTTCCCCTCTCCTGAGGCGGGATTCACTGTGGTGTGGCGCTGGCCCATCTGGGCTGCTGCACCTGACATGATGCTGGATCGCTGTAGTAGCCTGGGGTGGGTAGGGCAAAGGTGCCCTGCGGGGGCAGGAGGGCAGGCAGCGCCACTTCTCCTTGGGTGATCCACTTCTAGAGGGCCCTGTGGCTAGCTGGAGAGGCGTCAATCCGCTGCCAGAGTTTTGAGCTCTGACAAGCTTGACAAGAGTTGGGTGTTCTTGTGAGTGGCAGTTTCTGGCAGGAACTGGTTTCTCTTTGGGATTTTGGCTGGGGGGATGGTGGGGAGATGGCTGGCGGCGCTAGCTTTTCCCCACAAACTGAGCTCTGTCGTCCGAGGGGAGCTCCAGCCTCTCTCCTTCCTTGTCTCAGCCTTCCAGCTTCCGAGCAAGGCTGTTAACCTTGTGCCTCCCAGCCCGTAAAGGCTGGCGCTTGCTGTGGGAACACAGTCAGT